ATCATTATTAGTATTATTATCATCATCACTTTGATAATGTTTTAATAATACGTGATAAAGAAAATGACTAGACGAAATTTTGTGTTAATTTCATAATGCCATTTTTTGCAGGTATCAAGGAGTGATTTTTGCAGGGATTATTTGCACTGTCTGCATAATTTCCGGCTTAATTAGCACTGCCTAGGTTTGCCAAAAGACCTTACAGCAAAAATGTCACTAGGAAAATTGTGGAGGGAGGAGGGGGAGATACAGGAAAAATTTAGATTAAAAAATTAATCCAAAGTTATAATAGATTTAATTTTAGCCTTAAAACATTAATATAGTATTAAACTTCTTGAAAAATTAAGCAAAAGATTTTATAATAGCATTTTAATCCAATATATTTATAGTTTACATGATTACAGGAGATTACAAAACTCGAATATATCTTTTTACAAATATTTGTGATGACTATATGATTTACAATGACATAAAAATCGTTTCTCTTAAAAATGTTGAAATTGTGAGATTACAAATAATACATACAATAACATTTTTACACTGATTTTACACAATCTGTACATCTCAAACAAACTGATGTTTAGCAAACATTAACAATAATCCTTTATTTTAAAAAATATAATGATTTTAATAAATATAATGTTGTGATATTGTTCTTTAGATAATATTTATACTCTTAACAATGCTTAATTCTAAAATTAGACAGAGAGTAAATGGTGGAAAGAAGATAAATTAATGTTTTACTTTTTTGTAAAAATATTCTAGGAATTGTATGAGGAAGCCTATACAATGCAGAATTAATGCAAGTAATTACGAATATTTTGCACATTTTTGTGATAAAGAATTATATTCAAGATATAATTTAGTATTTTCTGATTACACTCAGATTCTTTCAGGGAAAAATAAACAAAAAGAGGAACTTTCATTTGCTCTCTGGAGGGAAATTATTCGGAAGTTTGTTTTGTGAAAAACTTTTAGAAAATGCCTTTAGAATTGTAAAAAAGTACCAATTTCAACAAAACAGCTGATAAACACATACAATATTTAGTTTATATATATAGATTTTAAATAACATTTCTTCTTGTGTGATTTTTAATCCAGAATTAAAGAAGATGAAGAAATTGTGTGAAAGCTTTTTCGGTAAATTGTGAAATATAAATATTTACGAAGAATTCTTCAATAACTAACAACAATTTGACAACATTAAGAATAATTCGTCGGCGTTTTCTTCCAAATTATTGAAAGGAACTGACTTCTCGCACAAATAATAATTTTCTTTTACCATATATCTCGAAATCTCGATATCTTTGATATTTCAAACTTTGATTATATAACCCTTGAAAAATTCAAAGTTTAAAATATGAAAGATCTATGTATGATATCAGATTGCAAAGATTAGAAAATTAGTGAATAAGGCCGGCGATTCATCAATTTCTTTAATTGAATATGAAATATGTTTGTCTATTGTATTTGTATTCATAAAAAGCATTGTGCCACGATTAAAATAAACCGCGGATTTTTTGAAATATTTGGTTTGGAAAATTGAGAATTCATTGATCACTGCCTCCTCGTCTGAAGCACAACTCAACAGAACTTACATCACGCTACAACATTTAATCTTGAACTTTTTCTTTTCAGTTTTATTTGGCTGGTCAACTTGGTCCATTGTTTTCATGGCGCTCAATTGACCAACTTTATCACCATTTCTAAGGTTCGGACGGACAACCGAACCTCTAAAACTATCGCTGCCATTTTCTTGTTGAACCCCGTTCAACTTTTTCTCTGACAAGCTTTCCTCAAATCTTTGTTGATCTGTGTGTTCTTGGAGGCCTCCAAGACCAGCAAGGAGATGCTTAAGGTCGCCAACAAGACGACCTTCTTTCCACAACTGCAGCATGAGACTGGCGTCCTGACTAACCTCACCCTCGGCCCGGAAAGGATTGTCCCATCCTTCATAATAAGGTCTGAAACAAATAAATAATTATGTAATCTTTTAAAACTGTTTTTATCAAGAAACACCAGAAGAAGAGATACTGTAGAGTTAGTTTAGTATTTGGATAATATCGATTAAACACAGGGTTATGAAACATGCTTTTAATGTTTCTATGTAAGTCCCGTACACTAAAATAATCCTAAAGTAAATTGCAATTTGTTTTCAAATATTTTAGAGATGGTTTGAATGTAGATTATGGAGTATGGTGCAGGTTTGAGTGAAGATTGTGGAGTATAAAGTAGGTTTAAGAGTAATTTGTGGAGTATGGAGTAGGTTTGAGAATAGATTGTGGAGTATGGAGTAGGTTTGAATGTAGACTGTGGAGTATGAAGTAGGTTTAAGAGTAATTTGTGGAGTATGGAGTAGGTTTAAGTGAAGATTGTGGATTATGGAGTAGGTTTATGTGGTAATTGTGGAGTATGGAGTAAGTTTAAGTGTAGATTGTGGAGTATGGAGTAAGTTTAAGTGTAGATTGTGGAGTATGGAGTAAGTTTAAGTGTATATTGTGGAGTATGGAGTAAGTTTAAATGTAGATTGTGGAGTACGGAGTAAGTTTAAGTGTAGATTGTGGAGTATGGAATAGGTTTAAGTGTAGATTGTGGAGTATGGAATAGGTTTAATTGTAGAGTGTGGAGTATAAAGTAGGTTTAAGTGTAGAGTGTGGAGTATGGAGTAGGTTTGAGTGTAGATTATGTAGTATGGAGTAGGTTTAATTGTATATTGTGGAGTATGGAGTAGAAATGAATGGAAATTGTGGAGTATTGAGTAGGTTTAAGTGTAGATTGTGGAGTATGCCGTAGGTGTAAGTGCAGATTGTGGAGTATTGAGTGGGTCTAATTGTAGATTGTGGATTATGACTATGGAGTAGGTTTAAGAGTAGGTTGGAGAACCAACACAATCTTCTGAGCTGAAGCGACTGCATGCAATAATCATGGTTTTTGAAAAAGAATTCTTAGACGAGCTTGTAAAGTAAATTCCCTTTTAACTCTACGTTTTGATTTACTAAACCAGTTTAATGTCATCACCAGGTTTACATTTTTATCAAGAGTAATATTTGTTTTCATGAAAACACTTTTAAAGTTAATATTTTCTTAGATAATCCTAAGGGTACTTTTTTGGCCTAATTGCAGGGAAGGATTTCCCAATTTTTACAAGATTGCAAGAAGTGTCTCAGTGTTTCTAATTGACAAGTTGAAAAATCTTGATTAATACAAGAACTAGAAATGAAGAACAACAATGCACTAGTGCTTGCGTTAAGGCCTAAAATATTTCACAATCTTCATCTCTACAAGGAAGAAAAAAAAGTATCTTTAAGACATACATTTCAAGCTTCAGCAATTATAGAATATCATCCCTTTCACATCAGACATGTTCATTGTTAATAGGGAAGATGTATTTTATATTTTTAGTAAATTTCAAACCAAGGAAAAATTGTTTTATACCATGTACACCGGTTTAATAAATAAGGGTTCAGTTTTTTTCATATTTGAGAAGTAAAGGTTATTGAGCACTTCTTCAAAACTCCATTTCTTCACTAGCTAAGCATCCAAACATTTTATTTTCATAATACTGTCATGTACTACACAGACTACGAATTAATAAGAAATAGTAAAAATCTAAAGCAAGTGATTAAATCAAAATTCCAAAGAGAGTTTTTTTCAATGTTTTGTGAAAACATTATTTCCTTTACATTTTATGTTTTTTCTACAAAGTAGTTTGAAAATATCAATCAGCCTAAAAAAATGGATTTCCCAGAAGCTTGAGAGAAACCAGAGTTTCTGTATTTTTAGCATTTTTGCACAAAAATGTCTTTCTCAATCTTACTCTCAAAATTCGAAAACTTTTGATTTAAGAGACTGTGGACATAGAGTTGAAAGTAGTTTAAAAACTAGTGGCATGTCTTATTTACAACTGTACCCTTTACACCTTTCAATATAAGGTTTATTTTCTACCTTAAATGTGTTGAATTCTGACAATTTGATTCATTGATTTTATGAAACTATTGTGTAATTTATCATTCTTCCTCACTTCATCGTGAGTTTCAAAATGAACGTGCTATAAAGTTAAATACGCTGTACATTATAGCACGTGTTTTGATTGGTTCTCGGATTTTCACCAAAAAATTTAGGATATTTCCACAATATTTTTTTTACAATTGAAATCAACTTAATATTTTGACTTCTGCTTTGTTTCAAAGTTTAATTGATTTAAAAGAGCCACTGAAATAAAACAAGAACACAAACGTTTCATAAAATTACCTATAACACTATTATTTTGGCACGACGTGCTGTAAAGTTTTTGGACTTACATTTTCTCTATAACTCGAAGGTTCTCGCCTTTTTAGATTATATGTTGTCCCTTGCTAAAGCTTGAATCTGAAAAGGCTGGAACCTTCTCGATAAAGAGGAAATTTCTCTCCAAAAATTAGTATAAAGGAGTTGAGTTTTTGTCACAAACTCTGATTTTCTTATCCCTATATCTTTGCATTTCAATGATGGAGACCTTAGATATTTCAAACTATGAATTATTTTAGATCAAATAATGATAGTTTGAAATATCTAAGGTAAACACCATTAGGTTGCAAAGATTTTGCGATTTGAAAATCAGAATACTCAGTTCCTTTAGCAAAAAAAAAATTCTGTCAGCTATATTTCTTCAGTTCAAAAAAAGGTGTATCTGGAGATAATCTTTCTAATCCATTTAATATATTCAGAAGAAGCCATAATAATTTAGATAATTTCACTTTTAAACACTACAAATTCATTTTTAATCAAAGCAAAAAAACAAAATTTTTTTTTATCAAACTAGTTGATGTATTTTTATATTATTCTATTATTTAAATTTGTTCAAGGACACGGAATAATCCAACTTATGTTTTATTAACGTTTAATAATAACATTGAATTATTTAGACAAAAGACAATGTTAAATTTGAAACCTTAACATAAAACTTTTGTTTTCCACCCACCTCCTACACCCCTGTCCTCTCCCCCCTCCCCCCCTCTATAACCCATTTCAGTCCCATTCCTTGATTATTTAATTATGTAATAATTGCATTGTTTTCCTGTTCTCAAAATAAACATTAGTTGCAAACATTCGCATTTTCTGACAAGAGAAAAGAATTGAGAGAAGCAGAGTTTGAAAATAGGGTTTAACTTCAACTTAACCCTTGGTCTTAAGGACCCTTCGGACCAGAGTTCAGAAATTTGTACCATCGTAATTGTTAAAAAAATAAATGAAATATTTTTCAAAAAGCATCTTGTTCTGCGCTTTTTTTCGATAAAAATCTTGTTTTTACGTTTTTAATCTTGTCAATATGTTCAAACGGCCAGTATAAAAGAAAACTTTTCGGAAGGGGTTTTTATTAAATATTAAATATATGGAGAGAGATATGAAGGCAAATAATTAATGTTAAATAATTTATATAAGTTGAACAACTTGAAAAAAAAGAAAAAAATATATATATAGCATGATTGTACATTTCTGGTTATTTTTATAGATTTTGATTGCATGTTTATAGTTTAGTTGCAGATAGGATCTTTGAAAATAAATGAACTATTTAGTTTTGTTTTGATGAGTTGATAAATGTTGATTACTGCATTGACGAGTCATATGTTTGATTGATTTTCTAGGGTTTTTTTGTCTTGTTTTTCATTTATTGATAAGATTACAAGAATTCTAATGAAATATTATATATTAATATTTGTTAAATCATAAAAGATAAATTATCAATTTATCATCTAATTAATTGATTTGTTAGTTAAATTCGTAGTTAATTCATTCATTAAATAATTGATTTATTGATTGAGTGATTTTTTTGATTGATTGATTGATTGATTAAGTACTTGTTTGGATGATAAATTAGTTGTTAAAATTATTGATTGATTGATTGATTAGTTGATTGCGCCAATAATTTATCGATTACCTTAAAAGTTTTGACTGGAATGTTTGATCCACCGAGGAAACGGGTGTGTGCGTCCCCCCTCCTTCCACTGGGGGACACTGAACCCTCCCCACCCCATCACAGCTCACCATCTCCACCTCACTGAAGGTGACCCTGAGTGCCCCTGGTTTTCTGGGTTCAAGATCTCTGAAAGTATAAAAATTTTATTCTTTTTAAAATCAGGTTTGAAGAGTAAACACTAGAACTTGTTTACGGGGAAATATGAGTCTTTCGTATTCTTATTTCAGGATTAAATAAAAATACTTTTTTGGTAAAAAAATTATTTTATATAATTTTCTAGGAATAGAAGTTCAATAAATAAAATAAAATTCTATCACAAAAATAATTAAAGAATTTAATTAAAGTATTCATATAAATACTTTTGCTGAAGTTATATTGTAAAATAGAAAATTATATTGTAAAATATATATAGTAAACAACTTAACAACAAAAAGTATTTCAAGATCCTTGAAAACATCTGAATGTCTAATATTCATCTTTCAATATCATTTATAATAAATCCACAAAATAAAAAAATTTGGTTAGAATTTTATGCTTTACTTTTTTTCCAAGAAATATAATTAAAAAATATCTATCAGATGGATAGATATATAAATTAATTTAATGATAGATAAATGAATGAATCTATATCTTTGCAAGTCTAAACCTGTGATATTTCAACTTAGAATATTTCTCCCATCATAATTTATAGTTTGAAATATCTGGGGTCTTCGACATCGTGTTGCAAAGATATTGGGATTAACAAATCAGAATTTCTGGAAAAAACTCAGTTCCTTTGTACAGGAAAATCACAAAGTCAAAATATGATTCAATATTATAATAACAGATTTTTTTACTTGTTGTAAGACTAAAGTATTTTCACGACTAGAGAAGAGAAGTAAGTATCTAGCAAGAAACGGAGCACTTNTAATATCATATTCTTAACTCTGCCATCTCATGCAACCTTGACGGAAATATATATTTATTTTTAAACAGGCAGAAATATTCTGCATTGTCATCAAAATATGTCAAAGGAACTGATCACTTGAATCAAACTCTATTTTTCTTATTTCTATTCTCTACAATCTGATGATGTAACCTAATATTAATATTAGATCTTGCAGAAATCAAAGATCATCTGGAATGAAAACATTAGAGCAAGGTGAAATTAATCAGTTCATTTCAACATTTTATTCTAAAAAATATTTAGTTATTTTGAAGTTTTTTTTTCTTATTTTCTCTTCAGTAAAGCCTAACAATTATATGTTAATTTACAAAACTCCTAGAATCTAGTTCCTTTATAATTTTCAGTTAACTTAGTATTAGCGAAAAATGAATGGGGATAAAGGTTGATAGAACCCTAATTGAATTCGGTGTTGATCGCTACTGATTTTTTTTCTAAGTTTTAATTGATAAAAGAATATTGAAAATGCGTCATTCCCAAGAGCATACAGCCCATATAAATTCACTTTGTTTCATTTAAAACGTTAATAATTTAATTGAATCTAAATCAAGATTTTTTTCGGATTATTACAACGTACATATAGTTAATATTTCATAACATTATTTATTTATTATTATCTTTTATTCAATCGAACCCAAATTCAATGAGGGATCAGCCTACACCCCCATTTATTTTTCGCGAACCCTCTGTTTAATGGACAAGATTTTGCGCAAAAAAGTTTGTCTGCCTGTTTGTCTGTCTATAATAACTGTTTGTCTCTCTATATCTGTTTGTCTCTCTATATCTGTTTGTCTGTATATATCTGTTTATTTGTCTATATCTGTTTGTCTTTCTATCTAACTAGAAGGATGAGTATAGATTAGAACTGCACTGGAAACAGGATTGAACTGCATAGGAAAGCCTGTTACCCAACCTTGAAGTATTAATCAGACCTGAGAAACTTATTCCAACTTTTTCTTAGATCTATCAATATCATCCTGTTCATTCTTATCCTGTTCATCATTATCCTGTTCCTCATATTCTGTTTAGTTCATCATTATCCTGTTCATAATTATCCTGTTTATTCTTATCCTGTTCATCATTATCCTGTTCATTCTTATCCTGTTCATCATTATCTTGTTCATCATTATCCTGTTCATTATTATCCTGTTCATTCTTATCCTGTTCATCATTAATCTGTTCAATATTATCCTGTTCATTATTAGCCTGTTCGTCATTATCCTGTTCATTATTATCCTGTTCATCATTATCCTGTTCATCATTATCCTGTTTAGCCTTAATCTGTTCATCATTATCCTATTCATCATTATCCTGTTCATCATTATCCTGTTCTTTCTTATCCTGTTCATCATTATCCTATTCATCATTGTCCTGTTCATCATTATCCTGTTCAGCTTTAACCTGTTCATCATTATCCTGTTCATCAATATCCTGTTCATCATTATCCTCTTCATCATTATCCTCTTCATCATTACCCTGTTCATCATTATCCTGTTCATCATTATCCTGTTCATTATTATCCTGTTCATCATTATCCTGCTCATCATTAACCTGTTCATCATTATCCTGTTTGTTATTATACTGTTCATCATTATCCTGTTCATCATTATCTTATTCATCATTATTCTGTTCATCATCATCCTGTTCATTTTTATCTTGTTCATCATTATCCGTATCATCATTATTCATCCGGTTCATCATTATCCTGTTCATCATTATCCTGTTCAGCCTTAACCTGTTCATTATTATCCTGTTTATTATTATCCTGTTCATCATTATCCTGTTAATCATTAACCTGTTCATCATTATCCTGTTTGTTATTATACTGTTCATCATTATCATGTTCAGTTTTAACCTGTTCATCATTATCCTATTCATCTTATCCTGTTCATCATTATCCTGTTTGTCATTATCTTGTTCATTATTATTCTGTTCGTCATTATTCTGTTCATCATTATCTTGTTCATCATTATCCTGTTCATCATTATTCATCCGGTTCATCATTATCCTGTTCATCATTATCCAGTTCATCATTATCTTGCTGTTCGTCATTATTCTGTTCATCATTATCTTGTTCATCATTATCCTGTTCATCATTATTCATCCGGTTCATCATTATCCTGTTCATCATTATCCAGTTCATCATTATCTTGTTCATCATTATCCTGTTCATCATTATTCATCTGGTTCATACTTATCCCATCCTGTTCAAACTTCATGTTCACCCTTTTTTATTCTACTAATTTTGTACCTTGTTCTCATTTTTCTTAGCATATCTTGTTTATGCTTATCCTTTCCTGTTCATAATAGCCATACACGTTGGATGTTCATCGTTATCTACCCTGGTTATACAATATACAATACATTATTTATTTTTATTCAATCCTATGAACGGATGTCATATTTCAACTAAACAACTCTGACATCATGTGACAAAATGCTTTGTTGAGAAAGTAATTGTTTGAAACGTTTATAAAAAGATCTCTCACAAGATACTAGACCTACCTAAAGAAATTGCATCATCATTTTCTAAACTTTAATCTTCAAATCTACTCTTATACAACTCATCCTACAGTTCACAACTTCTAAGTCACAATCATCAAAACAATACGGGGGGGGGGGGTCTTTCGCCCCCATTGATGATCTTAGATGCAAGTGGAACCCGAAAGAGTGCACTATAGTTCCGTCAACTTCCCCCCATTAAAAATCTCTAATTGCACCTTTATTAAGTAGTGTTTAAAGACAGCATATTCTCTAACTCCCTAGGATATTCTAATAGAACCCAACCCTTGATTCCAGGTCCTATATCTGTAGGTGTAAAAGGTTATAATGTGTAGTGTGTAGTATACCCGGAGTAAAGTTTCTACTGTTCCCTGGAGAACATCGTAAACCCAGGGAGATGAGAAATAGTAAACATTCCTTTACAGAGATTATATATATAATATATAATTTATATATAGATATGTAGAAAAATTCAAAACCAGATGTATAGAGGGTCCCAATATCCCATATAATTTGGATGTTTAACTAAGCTTTAACAATGCTTTTAATCGTATTGTTCGTTTTCTACATTTTAATAATAAAACTTCTAGTTTGCTTTCATTAAAATTTGCAATATTTTTATTCTAAAACAGAAAAAATGGAAGAAATTTTTTTTAGAATAAACAATTTTGTAAGAAGTGAATCTTCTCCGGTGTTTGTGGAACCTTCAAGTGTCCAAAAACCTTTAAAAACGAACCAAATTTTTGAATGCTAGCTGAGTGCCTGGCGTTGCCCGTTTTTTTAATAGAATTTGAAAAAAAGTTTGATTGAAAAAAATCAATCTTTAAAAGAAAACAATTTCAATTTTGAAGAAAATTTTTAAAGCATTTCTTAGCCTATGTTACCCCCAGGGTACCAATAGGTTTCCTAAAAAATGTCAGCCCATTCGGTCCAGCCGTTTGGCCAGCTGTAGCTAACATACAAACAAATGAATATGAGCGAAGTGCTTTATTATATAGAAGATTACTACGATCAATTACGTTCAGAATACTTAAAGAAACCAGCATATTTATATCTGATTTGTAAAATATCTGTTTGAAATGAAATGTTTCTCAAAACTTACAGGGTGTCCCATGAAACATGACAGTCATAGGTTGTCTTTGATCTTTAAATTTTTTGTTGCCATTCACCTGTCAACCAACTAAACACGTCTGGTTCTTGAAACAATAATTTAAAAAATTTCCCAAATGTGGTCTGCATTTTTTAATGCTTTTAAATTTCCGGAGATATGAAGAATTTGGTTCAGATTTCGACAACTTTCGTTTTATCTAAAAAACTTTAAATCGAGTTTTTTTTTGCGTGATTATTAACGCTAGAATTTTCTTCTAAAATCAGGTTTTATAAATAAATGCAGCAAATTCTTTTAAGGATCAAAGACGACCTTCATGCCATATTTCGAGGAACACCCTGTAAATACAAATTTTTGGACCACAAAATTGGTTTCTTATAAGAACCAACAGATGATTCATCTGAAATTAATCGGTCTATCCCGTTTTTCTTTTATCAGTTCATACTCTATTCACATATATTTATTATCTCTCTTTTATTGTTATGAAAATAGTTTCTTTAAGTTCTAACTTATATTGTAAAAAATTATATCCTTTGATTTACAATGTTAACTTGTTAACTAGTAGACTGTGTAGTGAAAGGCACCTATTATGAACCCAATTTCATTCAAGTTCATCCAACCATGAATTAAAGTGCATGACGTAAAAGAAAAATGGCGCAATATGAAATATAAAAAATCTGCAAAACTGTTTTTTACCTGTCACTGTATTCATCATCCCTGTTTAGATCAGATATTATATTCTCCAGGTTGTTACAGTTACCGTCTAGTAAACCCCCTTTGTAGGGGGGTAGACCCCCCTTCACGCCCCCACATTGAACTAACATCACGCCCCGGTAAGCATATTTCACGCCCCCCTGGTATTCTATAGACCTGGAGAGAGGACTGAGAAGAACTGAGGAGAAGGGGGGAGAGCAGGTATCCTCCTTCTCTCTCTCAGTCTCTCTCTAAACACATCTCCGTCCTTTCTCCTTCTTTTGCTCCAGGTACAATTATGAATTCAGGTATACGGCGTACAGATAAGTGTAGATGTAAACCTTGTACATAGTGTACATACAGCCCTAGATAAACCATGAAACAGGAGTTAAGAAGACATCTATAAAAGGAGAACATAAGTTAAGAAACAGGTAAAGGAACTGGATCATGATAAGGGTGAATGAAAAAGGAAAAGCGTACATGGAAAAGGAAAAGGGTACATACAAAATCAAATCTTTCTGGAAAAGAAAAAAGGTATATGGAAAAGGAAAAGGGTGCGTGGAAAAGAAAAAGGGTGCATGGAAAAGAAAAAGGGTATATGGAAAAGGAAAAGGGTGCATGGAAAAGAAAAAGGGTACATGAAAAAGGAAATGGTACTGGATAAGAAAAAGAGTAAAGGAACAAAATTAGAAGAAAAAAATAAAGATAGGATCACAGGTACACAAACAGGAATACATGAATACAGGATACAGTAATACAAACAGAAATACAGGAAACAGTACAAAGATCAGGAATATAGGATACAATAACACAAACATAAATTCAGGATACAGTAACACGAACATGAATACAGAATACAGTAACACGAACATGAATACAGGATACAATAACACGAATATGAATACAGGATACAATAACACGAACATGATTACAGGACACAATAACACGAACATGATTACAGGATACAATAACACGAACATGAATACAGGATACAGTAACACGAACATGAATACAGGATACAATAACACGAACATGAATTCAGGATATAGTAACACGAACATGAATACAGGATACAGTAACACGAACATGAATACAGGATACAGACCCCCCCTATTTTCGGTCCTAGATTGTTTTCAAATGAATGCAAATTGCGTATCCTCTACATGGAATTAGATAAGACCGTGAACTTCAACATTTTTTCCCATTAAAAACTTCCTCTGCTCTCCTAGTCCTCCACCTGTTATATACTCTACACTCTGCACTCGGTTAGAAATATCTATTTTGACAGATAATTATGAAGATTTACGTCAAAAAAATTTAAATAAGCGTAAACAACAAGAAAAACTAATTCTAAAAAAATCTTTTAGAATTACGATTTGTGGTTTGTGGGAGAAGGGGGGGGGGTCAGATTGTGATGAATGAAGAAAAACGGGGGCAAGGGGATCTGATATAATAGAAATGAAAGATGGTGAAAATCTTGAATTCGTGATTAGACCTAGGTGCAGAAGTTCTGAAAGTCCAATTTTTTGGCCTTCAGACATTCTGTGAAAATGGTTTAAAGAATTGCACCGGTCTTTAGTTCGTGCACAGAATCAATAGTTCAACTGTCTTCTGATGAAATATTACACAAAAATCTTTACATCGTAATATTTTCTTGACGAAGGTTTGTATACAGTTTATGACACTGTCACTGAAATTTTAACGAAAAGAGCATGACCACCCCCCCCCCCCCCCACCCTGACCTCTGATGTAAAAATAATATACTAATAAAAGAAAGAGGAAATATTTCAGATTTTAGAAAAATAAAAAAAAAATAACAAGAAAATAAAAATGTAGAAATCAAAATTCGACAATTTAATATCTCGAATCAATGAAACAAGAAAAATTTAAATGATTTAAAAATAATTTGGCTTTTGAAGGAGGATGCGCAACTTTCTTATTGAAAAATTTTATCTTTTAACTTTCGCAATCTTTAATAGTTCTCTAATTTCGCGGATTTGTTTGTTTAAATTGGTGCATTTTGTTTTTGTTAAATAAAGTTTGTGTTATGAAACAACTGAGGTAACCGGAGCAACATATTTTAGACAAGTATTTGTGTAAAAATAAGTTCCAGAAAACATAAAACTTTTAATTAAAATCCAGAATTTTCTACAGTTTACTCATTATATATATAATATAAATAAATAAATAAAATAATGTATTTGGATTATGATTATTGTTTCTTATTTATTCCAATATTACAATAAATGCACTATTTGTATTCATAATATTTGTTATTTTGTTGCTAGAAAACTGGAATAAGTCATGTAACCACTGCACGCCAAACAGAAAAGTAAAGGGCAAATTTATGCAAAATTACCAGATCCTCATAATTTCTCAACCTTCGATTTTACTCAAAGGAATTGAGCCTTTGTCACAAACTCTAGCTTTTGTAAGTTGTAGATCTTTGATATTTCAAACTATATAAATTCTGTTAGATTAAATAATCTAAGTTTGAAATATCAAAGGTTTACACCACCAGGTTGCAAAGATTGGAAAATTTTAGTTTGTGTGCAAAGACTCAATTCCTTTATCTGGTAAAATATCAGAAATATAAACTTCTTTTTTTCCCCGGTATATATATAGTCCTATTGAGTGTCTGCTTTATTTACCCAATGTCCCGGCGATACAGTACAAACTGGGACCGGAAAGGTTGACCCGGCTCGGAAATTCAAATGTACTACGGCTGCCCGTGGTACATATACTTAAAGTAAATAACGAATTCTATAATTCCATTTTCGTGTTTCTTGGTTTAATTTACAATAATTTTACTTTCTGAAAACTTTGAAAATATTTCCGAAAGTTAGGTTCCTGTAAACATTCCCCATAGCAACTATTGAAACCCACGCAACTCGACACTGGGGAACGAGGGCCCCCCCCCTTTATATTTTAAGCAAATTTCAGACTATTTTAGAAAGTTAAAAATAAATAACTAATTCATCTATTTTTTATAAGATACTTCAAGACTTGAAATTCTGAAGTTTACAGTTTTCATGTTACGCACCAATGACACTAGGATATAAAAAGTAAATTTATTTTGTTGTATACTATAAACTATAAATTCAAAACTGTTAATTGTTTTTCAATAGTTGTAAAAAACACATAGACGATCGAAAATATGTTAAAGGAATTGAGTCTTTACCACAAACTCAAATTTGCTAATCCCTTCATCTTTGCAACCTGATGGTTATCTATGTATTGAAAAAATATAGAGATAGAAAATTAGATTTTGTGGCAAAGACTTAATTCCTTTCAATCTAACATAAAATTGTCTTTAATTTGATCTGTCTTTGCTAATTTGTCCTAAATAAAAAGAAGAATGTTCTACACTGTAAGAAAAGAATTCTGCTGATATGCAAATGATTCGGACGAATGGATTACGCACTGGGCAGTGGGCATACTAACTCACATATTCTAGGAATTTATGAAATTTAGAAATATAAGATTTCGTACAACTTAAAGCTGGAAATGTACAAACATAAAAATTGAGTTTGTTCGCTTATTTAAAATACAGATGATTATCTTTATCTAGTGGGTTGAATATACATAGCAAAAAAACTTATTACACTCTAAAGGAGTTGAGTCTTTGCCACAAACTCTGATTTTCTAATCCCTATATCTATGTAACCCAATATCGCAGACCTTAGATATTTCAAACTAAAAATTGTTTTAGATTAAATATTAATAGTTTGAAACCTGAAAGATTTACACCATCAGGTTGTAAAGATATAGGGACTCAAGAATTTGAGTGTGTCTAAAAATCAATTCCTTTTCATATTTAGCAATCATAGATTATTTTACAAGATACTTAAACCCATTTTTACTTTACATGCATAACTTTCAATACTGGATCAAGAGCATAACAAGCCAATGGAAACAAGACCAACGGGAGTCAATATCAATTCATGGTAAAAGATAATCATTATTGTATTGTATTCACGGTTTTCATTATTTTTATAAGAGACTGACGTACATGTAAACTAATTTTCATACTCAATTATATCTGTGAAAGGTAGAATATTGAAGGATGAAAAGATCATATTCAGTATTGTGGATTAGTTGGATGTAACTCTTAATGATATTATTTGTTTGTATTCTCAAATTTGAAAAGAATCCTGCTAAAGTTAATAATTTCTGTATTAAATTTGGATTACGTTAGACATAATTTCAAAGATAAAAACTTTCGTATTCCTAGTTTTTTTTTACATAAAACACCAAATTTATTGATAAATTTGAACTTTTACATAATATCCTAGAGGGGGGGGGGGGGTTAAACCCCTAGATATTTCAAGACATAAATTATTTCGAGTCTAGCTGTCTACATCTGTCTGTCTACATACAGACTATTAGGCTTTTTTTTCTCTGCATAATAGGTCCCTTGATACTCAGACTAAAGTTCAGGAATGTAAATTAGATTTCTTTTCTACAATTTTTTATTAATCAATCATTTTCACATATTATTTAATCACAAAAACCACACACAACAACTATAACTATATACTTTTATTTACTTAAAGGGAGTGTTCGCGAAAAATGAAAGTGGATATAGGCTTAAGTCGAATCGAATTCGATGGTGATCGCTACTAATCTTACTTCTATCTGTTGCGATATTTCAACCTATGTATGTCGAACTCAATTCGATGCATCGGTGTATCGAACATATTTCATAATATCTTTTATTTTTTGGTACACGATTTACTTTAAAAGGTTATTTGGGTTTATTAAATGTTTATACTTTATAAGTATATATCTTAGTTCTGCAGCTCTGATCATGAATTTTTAAAGTTATAATATTATAATGTAAGCATTAAAAGAGCCAATATTCTGCAAATAAAAACAAAGTTTGAAATAGAATAATGCATTTCGGAAACTTAACATCTTCTTTCTATAAACCCTTTTTGCTCGGCTTTTATCTTTAATAAGTCAAATTATATTATCTGGGAAAATCATAACCATCACGCTTTTAAACAAAATTCCACTGTAAAATATTTTTTAGAGCTAAAAGTTTGAGGGATAGAGGGATAGAGAGGAATTAGTTAGATCAAAATCATGACAAAGAATGTAAACAAATGTCATAACTTTCCTAGGCAGGGTAGGAAGGCATGGCTTGTATAATAACTGTTGTTTATTTGCCTTAAACCAATTCTTAAGTATTTTTTTATCGTCACAGTAAAATGTACACAAACTCTATTTCAAGGTATACATTAGAAT